TTCCTGCTGACTCGCTGACTGCGGCTGGTGCTGCTGCTGCTGCTGCTGTTGGAGTTGTTCCTCATCCTCGGTTATGAGCAGACTCTCCGTTTGGGTGCCCTGATCTGCAATTAGCGGAGCGACCACAAATTAGATATGCGGAAATGTTTTTGCCCAAATGCTTTTTATGGCCTGCATGTACTGCATGCTCTTTTGATTCTCAATTCAATTAGGCGCTGCCTAATCACACATACACATATATCGCAGTAAAACAGAACACAGAAGAAACAAGCTCAGCGCTGAAATATCGGATCGCCGCCTGTCTTTATTTTTATTCCTTCAGCAATTAGCGGCATATTTACGAGTTGAATGCCAAAATGCGTGCGCGAAATGTTGCTGCGGCTAAAAACTTGGCCTCGTTTCTCATCAAATTGAAATGAAATTCACAGCAACTGTGCGAATGTTTGCTGCATTCGCGATTGTTGTTGATTCAATTTTTCATTTGTTTTGATTTGATTTCTYTGCGTTTGCTAATTTACAGCGTGCGTATAAATAAATGTGTTGCCAACATTTTGCCTGCTGGCAGTTGGATATCGAGAGCTGGCAGGGTCAACGCGTGCCACCGAGCCGCAGAGTACATTTATCTCTTGCCGTATGTAAATCGGACAGTCTGTCAACAGGGGCTTATGTAATTCAATTTGTTGCACGCCTGGGACTTGATATTGAGGCATCTCTGTCTCTGCTGTCTGCCGTCGCTGTTTGCCTAATTAAAATATATACACATTAAATTTGCTAAACTTGCTCGCTAAATGCTTAGTGTGCTAAATAAATTGAAGTGCTGAGAGTATCTGGCATTTGGATTTGCGTAGATTTTCTAACATTTTTCAGGGCGTCTGCTTTTATTACACTTCTCGTGGGCGGAGAATGTAGGAAAACAATTTTACGATGCGCCCAACTGTTTATAATATCAAATGCTCTTGGCTTTTATCCATCCAACTATATGTATATAATATCTATATTTTGGCTTGAGGCTGATGCTCATTAGCCAAATGTATAAACGTATATTTATGTCGTCTCTATACCACGCCACGTTGACACACACTCATGCGGAAATATTTTATTATTTATTCAGGACAAGTGCCCAACGCGCCGTCAGCCTCTTGGCTGTATATGAAAAGTAGTTTTCTATTTAGTATTAAGTTTTTTTGCTTTGCTATTGAAATGCAATCTTCATTGAGGCGCAGTTCATGNAACATATGTATATATATATGATTGCTGAGTAAGTAGATCACTTGACTCGATCGGCAAGCAGTATAAAAGTAGAGATCACAGTGCTTGAATGATCCAGAAAACGTCTGCATAAAGTATATATATAGTCTTACATAAAATGAGTGACACGATTTGTAGGGGAATTCAATAGGTGACTCTTAAGGTAATTTTAGCTCGAAGACTATGGATAAAATTATAACTTCAGCATGAAGACTTCATCAGCAAAATATATGAAGCCCAGTTTTTTACTGGTCTTAACATTTAAGGAATATCCTAACTGAAACTTGCTCAAAACAAAAACTCTACAATTAAAATTTTTTCTTAGTAAAATTTTAAGCTTTTGGAACCGTGCATAATATTTATCATTTTAAATATTTTTTTAAAACCCCATAGATCTTAATCTTTTTAGCCAACATTTCTTTTACGTTGGATGTTAAAAATGATGAGATGAATTCGCTATGGAAGTGGATGATGGCAAAATGTTGAAAAATTTTAAGTAGCAAAATAAGAAGAAGCAGAACAAAAATTGTTCTGTGACTGGCGTTGAGTTCATTTTGATATTTTTAGAAATTGCCTAATTAATTTAGAAAAATCAGAGAAACAAAACCAACAAACGAGTGTTTGTATAGCTGTGGCATATTCATCACCCAAATATTCGTATTTTCTTTCGATCTACGAACGGATTTGCGTACGGATTTTTTGTGGACAAATCGGAAAAAAAGAATAACGAAAGAAACACAAAAGCCCATACGCGTGGCAATCGAAGCGATGAAAAGTTTTCCTGTGCCAGGACGTAAATCATATATTATAGCGAAATAGAAAACAGGCGAGGCATTTGCATAGAGAGTAAGAGAAAATATTTTCAGTATCGCCTGGCCAAACATAATCTGTTTATATATCGAACAGCATGTGAATTCTTTTGGCGCTTGTGCCAAAAAAGATAAATAAAAAAATAAATAAATAAATAAAATATAATGCTGCACAAGGCCACAAAAAATCTGAAGCGTTTTGCGATTTATGCTGCCATTATACAGATATACAAATATATAAATTCAATATGTTGTCAGCTCGTTGCGCAGGAAACGACCAATTTTATGAATCATTTACAAAAGAAAATCTTCAGGCAGCAGCCAAAATCTTTCGTTTCTCTTACTTGCAAATTCAATTTAGGGAAATTATCGTGCAATTATAAATAATTTATCGAGAGATACGCCAAACAAGCAATAGATAAGTGAATCAGTTTTTCTTGAATAGCATCCAAATGATTGTTGTTGTTGCTGCTGCTGTTGTTATTGTTGCTGTTGGTGCTTAGGTGGGCCAAGTACATGAGAATTGACAGTTTGGCAGGCACTTAGATGCCCACGCATCTGAGCAAAGTGTGTCATCCAAAATGTTTTCCGAATCAGCTGGCTATAAATAGAGCCCCATTCTGATTCTGATGATCAGGTATTGTTTGGTCAGTGTCAAGGACTTTAGTTTTGGACTAAATAGTTTGTTGCTGATGCTGMTGTGTGGCAGCACCTTGACAGCCAGCCAGCCCAGCCCAGCCCCACGGGCCTGTTGGCCCGAGTCTTTAATATGTCTGGGGCTGTCTTTGTGCAAATTTCTCGCATATTGCGCGGTTTGTTTCATTTCGTATTCTTGGCAAGCGTTCGCATTGCAGAGCGACGGCTGAGTACTTTGAAAATTTGAAGAAAAATAGATAAATAAACATTGTACGAAATTCAAATAAATCGTTTATGAACAGCAGGCCAACAGCAACAACAAGAAATGCTTGTCGCTCAGTCAGTTAGTCAGTCAGCCAGACACCCACACAGGTTTGTTTGTTTTAGGCAATTCTGATTTAGATTTTGAAATATTATTATATGAAAAATCGTGTTTAAAAAACACTTGAATCTTCTAATGAAACGCAAAACATCTGGCATATAAATTAGTTGACCTAATTTTCGTCAGACTCTCTCAGCATTTGACAAGCTGAAGCAACAGAAAAGGCATTTCATTATGCATGAATGAAAATAATATATA